TAACGTTTCATGAATGAGACCCAGTGTGTGTGATTTATCCTGGTTTCATATGAGCAGAGGAAATCTCTGCTAGGCTAATTTATACAATGTAAAATGCCATAGGCTTGTGCTAATAACGTTAGCGTGTTGTGTTTGCTTGGAAAACGTGTTTAGTATCAGACAGTTGTTTTGTCAGTGAATGTTGTGAGCTGTAATGGAGCTGAATTATGTGCCGTTACCTTTGTTACATGTTGCTGTTGTCCCTGGTTTTATATGAGTAGAGGAAATCTCTGCTAGCTGCTAGGCTAATTTATACAATGTAAAATGCCATAGGCTTGTGCTAATAACGTTAGCATGTTGTATTTGTGGGGAAAATGTGTCCAGATAAAGACAAGTGTTTGTCTGTGAATGCTGCGAGTTATAGTGAAGCTGATTCAACCCTTGACTTTACAGCGCCTCACAGGAACTCCACCCCCTCCGCTCTGGCTGCCCATGCACGGTGCTCCTTTCCTGTTTTTCACTCTAAAGTTGGACAAAACAAAGTTAATAAACTGGTCTTCTTTAAAATGTTTAAAAACATGTTTCATCTTTAACTTCATCTTCTGCTTATTTAATTATCACAGTAAAATAACCAAAATATAAATATGTACATATATGACCAGGATGCTGGGGGGATGGGACGGGAGAAGGCTCAAGGAAAAATCCTGTTAGCTGCAGGACGAATCTCTTGTGCTCCGGCCCTGATCACAACCCTGGCCTTAAGAACTGCAGGCAGTCTCAGCCACTGTAATGTGAGGACAGGTGGGACACCTCTCACCTGGAGTGCCTTCTACACTTCCACTGGTATTTCCACCATAAAAAAAGCTCATCTGAGCAAAGCTGTTACCTTTATTGCCTGTCTCACATGATCTCTGCAGATTGCACTGAACTTCCTGCGTCTGCGTGTGTGTATGTTTAAAAAATGCCATTTACATGCAGATGGTTATAAGACGTAGTAAAACATTTAGAGAACCCTGATGGATCTTTCCTTGAGTGAGGTTTATGAGGGATAGTAAAACATGTAAGTGCACAAACAGCATTTTGTATGCTGTGTAAAACTGGTCAGCATTATTATCTTAGATTACGAGCAGTCAAACCTCAACAAGCCTAAATGAACATGTCTGGTAGGTGTTACGCATCATGCTAGCTGTTCAGGTTTTGTCGTGATCAAAGCAAGAGAATTTAAACCCTACACACAGGGGTTTGAATCATACACAATGAAAGAGTAACGTAGTAATAATGTAACGAAAGATTAATACTCAGATTATTGAGAATTTCACAGATAAACCAAAAGACAGTGCTCAGCTATTTTTAAATGTCATTTATCATAAATGATTCTGTCGTAAGTATTTTTTCTGACTGATTCCTCCACACCAGGCGTTTAACGTGTTAAATCACTGATGACCACTTTCATGGAATATTTGTATTCAAACTTTACACAATAAAATGACCAAAACTGAGCGGTCACAGGAAATCACAGGTGAGACTCTTTTAGTTTAGTCCTCCCCTCATCGGCTCGTCATATACGAGAGAACCCTCAGTGGCATTGTGTTGGTGTTTGGGACTGCCCAGTAATTCAAGGGTTCTGAGGAAGCGTTAAACAAAGACACTGACAAAATGATGGAGCTCAGTGTCCCGTCGGACCCATTCATATTTTTGTCAGGAGTTACACCTGAAGACAGACACAGCACAGATCAGAGGTTGAAACTGAGAATACTTTTATTGATTGCTGAGAAAATGATGACGGTGACCTGGAGAGATGCAAAAGGACCAACTCTAACGCAGCGGACGCAGAATGGTTCACATGATGGAACAAAAGTCTGAAACTGAAAATCGACTCTTTAACACAGAGGTGGACTCCAGTTACATTATCCACCTTATTCCTGCCCCCATGATACTTTGCCTGAATTATGTGTGCAACTTCTGGTGTTGAACTGAAACTGACGATTTCCATTGGTAACAGGTTGTTTACAGTTTGTTTACACGTGCTGTTTGAGACATGTGTTGCACTTGTATCAATCTACCAGCATGTAGAGGCATGTCTCAAAACAACAACGTGTGCCGGTAGTGGGTCCATGTCATTAGTCCGACGTCCCGTTGTTCCAATATGTGATTATACTAGGCTATACTGTATTTGTGTACCATAGAGGATCAGCAACGCAACAAAAGTAGGCTACTGGTCTAGATACAAGTGCTATAGAGAGGATAGATTGAAACACCATAACCTCCTGTTATTAACTCTGGGGTCGGGGTTGTGTGGGGAGCTCTCCGCGGTGCTGAACGGCTCCCGGCGGGCGTATTTCTGCCTTGATGGTGCGCCGTGACCGGCTCTGGGTCAGCTGGGAAAGGCTTGAGGCGGAGCAGGCTCACAGCTTATGTGTTTGTCACTTTCTTTTTCATTTTAACCCACACCATGATCTTTTCCTGACCCTAACCAAGTGGTTTTTGTGCCTAAACCTAACCAGACCTTAACCACAGGGCATCATGATGATTTCAGAACAACGGGACTTCGGAACAATGGGTTTAATATGGTCGGACCAATGGGCAGTTCCCGCCGGTAGCAGGAGCAGGCTGACGGCTGAGCATGCCCAGATACTCATCTTCTTAAAAAAGAATCTCCACATCATGTTTTTTCCAAGACGAGCAACGTAAGGAGAAGGGACACTGAGGTAGACCAGCAATATTAAGCTTATCAATGTACCGTTGCCTCTCTGGTAGGCATAGCGTGCTAAAATAATCCTTTGCCATCTTATTATTAGCTAATAATTTTATCTAGCTAGCTAGCAGTTCAGTTGTGGAGACTTGAAGGCGTGGCTGCGGAGGCAGAATGACAGCGAACCAGCGAAGAAGCGGCAGGGAAAGCGGGCCTCGTTTCCCCTTTGGGGGCGTGGCTTTCAGATTATGACGCGTTGTGCTCTGTCTCTATGGACGTGTTCCTCTGTAACTGAAACTGCTCTGTCGTAAATGCCTCCCCTACTTGCACTTCTTAGTTTTGTGTTTATTTAATATTATTCATTATTATATACTTAAGTATATTGTTTACCTCCTAATGTTTTGATTTGTTTTATTTTGTTTTGTTTTGTTTGTTTCTAAAATATAGTATTTAAGAGGTCCTGTACCAGGGAATATTCTGTTATCCGGAAAAACTGAACACTAAATTAAAAGTAAAAAAAAAAAAAAAAAATCTTGTATTATTATTATTATTATTATTATTATTATTATTATTATCATATTATTATCATTATATATAACAGAGAAGGAATAAAGTAGATGTCACTCGTTGTCAGGTGACAATTTAAACTTTACATTTGCTTTATTAACAGCTCAACACAGGAGCCAGTTTTGACTGAAAACACCATGATATGAAACATGGATCGAACTCAAGGTTAAAGTGTTGTTGCATTAATTCAGGATCCATCATCAGTGAGTTCAATCTGAACATTTTAAAATCCCCATAGTTCCCACAGGGACACACTCACTGAAGTTGAGCCCACTCTATCACGATGACACTATTCTGCTTAACTGAAACTTAAACTGATCAATGTAAGATTCAAGATTCAATCATCTGCTCAGCTTGTTGTTGATTTAAATTCTTGGTCAGGGATTTTTTTTTGTCTCAAATACATAAAAACACACCTTTGCTCATTGTGTCCAAAAAGTTCTGTTTTACCTTCATCAGTCCACAGGACTTGTTTCCAAAAAGCATCAGGCTTGTTCACATGTTCCTTTGCAAACGTCTGATTCTGAATGTTGTGGTGAGGACACAGGAAAGGTTTTCTTCTGATGACTCTTCCATGAAGCTCATATTTGTCCAGGTGTGTCTGCACAGTAGAACAGTGCACCACCACTCTAGAGTCTGACAAACCTTCTTGCAGGTCTTTTGCAGTCAAACAGAGGTTTGATTTGCCTTTCTAACAATCCTACGAGCAGCTCTCTCACAAAGTTTTCAGCTTGACCTCCACAGTTCCTGTTAACTGTCATTTCTTACTGACATGACCAACTGAGGAAACAGCTCCCTGAAAACACTTTGCTATCTTCTTCTAGTCTTCATCAGGTCTTTTAGTTTTCAGAGTGCTAGGCAGCTGTTTAGAGGAGCCCATGGCTGCTGATTGTTGGGACTAGGTTTCAGGAGTCAGAGTTTTTATAAAGCTTTGAAATTAGCATCACCTGGCCTTTGCTAACGATGACTGTGAACAAGCCAGAGCCCTAACAAGCTCATTAAGCTCTGAGACCCTGGGAAAAGCTGTCTGAGAGCTCAAATGTCTTGGGGTGCCCAAACTTTTGCACGGTGCTGCTTTCAATATTTTTCACTCTTGCTTAAAACATTGAAAAGCATGTTTCATCTTTAACTTCATGTTTTTTGGAGATCAGCTCATCTTCTACTCACTTAACCACTAACAGTGAACCAAATTGTGACGCAGGTGCTCAAACCTTTGCAGCCACTGTATGCTGTACTGGTTTTAAAACCTTCGATCTAACAAATCTGGACTTCTGCAGGTGACATAGAAATGCATGAAGTTCGTTTTACATTCCATTTTGGTTTTCTGGCAGAGGACCCCGCACCCACAGCCAGTTATATATCTTTCCAAATATGTAAAATAAATGATAATTCATTCAAAAATTAGGATTAAAGAACTCGTACCAAAAAGTTCACAATGTGACTGCAATCATTCTTATTAATTTGGTTCTTGGGATGCCTTTTAAGACAGAACTATGAATAATTTCTAAATAATTTTACCTGATATTCATCCACACAGTGACGACCTCCTGACACCTGCAGAGCACACACACATTAAGTCACACGAATCAGGTTACTCATCTCCTACAGTCATGTGAGGGACATTCTCACTCAATAACAAAGTTATCCAGCTTTTGTTAATTGAGATGCACTTTATGGTCGTAGTGTCAGGTCAAAGTCTTGGCAGGGAGCATTAGAGTGTGACAGCATGTCAAATCCCAGTAAAGTTGTCCAGAGCGCTCAGGCAGGACACATCTTTTTCTATGGCTGGGAGACTGCAGCTCTCATGGCTGTTCCTCATCCTCATTCTCCTTCTGGTGGGACTGCAAGGAGAGCCCAGGGACGCAGCACAAAGACGGGACAAGAGCAGCGACCAGTGAGTTGGGCTTTGGAGAGATAAAAACATGGATGTGTTGCACATTGATGAGTCAAAATGATGGCCTTCATCAGTATTAATCTCTGTATGTAAACAGTTTATATGCAGCTGGAGAGTATTTAAGATGCGTGACGCTGATGTGTGAGTCTGGTCCTCACTTGATTTTCAAATTCTGCAGAGAATAAGGTTTTTGAAATGCCATAAAATCAGTTAGTTTTTAATATCTCAACTGTCACAGTTCATTTCATACAGTGTTAGCTTTTGGATTATTTTTTATCTGTGTACTAACTGGAAATGTCTTACGTGTGTGTATGTTCCCTACGGAGCTTATTTTGTTGAACGATCAGAAACTCAGTCAAATGATTTCATGTTAGAATTTTGCCGTCGTGCCCTGAGACGAGCGGACTTCAGAGGAACGGTGAAAAAAGATGTTATTGGATTATCGTTGGATTATTGGGAGACTTTTTTGCAACGCTCTTTCTGATTATAAAGCATCAGGGAAATTAATATTCGGAGTAGTAAACCTGCTCTGTACAAACAACATCAGCACTGATGGAATTTGGTGATTTGACCCCACAGGCCTCGTATGCTGTCAGAGGGTGGTCACCTCGTCTTTACAACCGGTGACAATAACGAGATCCGCTTCCAGACGCCAGCATCTGGCCGGGTTAAAGTCAATAATGAGGACCTCACCCAACTTCTGAATCAGGTAAGTGAAGACTTTTCCACCAGTAACAAACATGCACGCGTCATGTGACAGACTGCAGTCGTCTGATGGTTCATAAGATCAAACCTGACGTTTCACTCCGCAGGACAAACAGAAAGTCACTGAAGATTCAACTTTCATGAGGTTTTTTTGTCATAAACTTCCTGGTTACAAGAAGCAGGAAGCAAAACAGACTGGCTCATATTTAGAACTTTTTTTCAGCTTACTTGTTATTACTTTTAGTAAGCAATAATAACTCTAAGTCAATTATGCTGTAATAAACACTTATATAGTCTTATTAATGTTAATAAGCATCTTATACCGTCTTATAAGTGCTCATTAATGTTAATGTGCGCTTACTAAACATTCATTAGCATTTATTAAGCATTAATTTGCGCTTATTAAACATTAATTAGTGTTAATTAAGCATTAATTAGCATTTATTAATAATTATTTAGAGCTTATTACAGTACCTTAATATAAAATGTTACCTTCGTTTTTACCAAAAAATAAAGAAAAATAAAAAAGCCAATAACAGACATAAACAACAACAACAGGCAGGGACATGGTAGGCAAAGGTGAAATGTCCAGCACTGAGCAAAACAGAAAATAAGAGGAGGCAAGGCTACACTCCTCCATGTCCATGATCGTCTCTCAAGACCACAAAGGTCCCCAACCTTGACCCCTGGAAATCCAGAGCCGCTCCAAGGAGGGAGAAATCGCCCAGTCATCCATGAGCCACGACCCATCCCACATGTCCCCACGCCAAGGGGCACAAAACAAAATTCACCAAACAAATTAGATCACTTCAAGTCAAATAAGATTTCCATTTTTTTCCGACTCATTTATTTTGTTTTTATGTGATGTCTTTTTTTTCTCTCTCCTAATTACTGTATGTATTTTTAGTCTGACTTTGTCTGCTTCTTGTTTATTTGTTTCTTGTGTGTAAACACCAAGGACCATGCTGGAAATAAGTATTTTACTTTAGCATGTCATCCTTTGGATTACTGTCTTATCCTCTTCCAGAAATCAATCAATCAATCAATCAATTTGATAGTTTCACAAAAACATCACAAGTGATGTTAAAATCCTGCTCTAAACACATTATTGATCTGATCTCTGTGACCACATTCACCCAATAAGAAGAAGTCTTAGAACACTCCCAGAAATGACCAGCAGACATGGTACCACACATTCTCCAACACTGACCACGTTCAGGTTTGTTGCTTTGTGATTTTTAATTTTGAGACTTATAAAGATCCTTACAGTGTTTTTCCTCATGAACTCCCTCTGCNAATTTTGGGAGTTATAAAGAACCTTATAGTGTTTTTCCAGATGAAGTCCCTCTACAGACCTGAGCTTCACTTGGTAGATTGTGTCTTACATATGTTCAGCCAACCATCTTCGGTTAACTTTATGTCAGCTTCTTTCTCCCACCTACAACTTAATTATGCAGTGTTTACATTCTTTCAGCTGTACATGACATTTGAACACATTATACTCAAAAATTATATAAAAGAAAACAGCGTTAAAGCCACTCCAAAGTGTATGTAACCAAACTGTTAATTAGAAAAAATAAAATTAAAATAGTAATGATAATTGTCCACTCCAAATTTTAATCACAAAGATAAAGTGCAAGTGCAAAACGTGCTCTATGGACTGTGACATTTAATGTGTGTGTGTGTGATGTGTGCAAACCACAAACAATGACACGTGTGATCAATAAGAGGTGTTTCTCCCTTCATCCAGACTTCCAGGATTTACACCCTGTACTGCAGGATGACCTCTTTAAGGGCATCAGGTATTTCTCTCCAGTTTACAGCCAGCTTCAGGCATTGCCAAAATACACTCAGCAGCCACTTTATTAGGTACACCTTGCTGGTACCAGGTTGGACCCCCTTTTTAATTCTTGGTGTCACAGATTCAACAAGGTGCTGGAAACATTCCTCAGAGATGTTGGTCCATATTGACATGATGACATCACACAGTTGATCCATGATGAGAATCTCCCGTTCCAGCACATCCCAAAGGTGCTCTATTGGACTGAGATCTGGTGACTGTGGAGGCCATTGGAGTACAGTGAACTCATTGTCATGTTTGAGATGATGTGAGCTTTGTGACATGGTGCGTTATCCTGCTGGAAGTAGCCATCAGAAGATGGGTACACTGTGGTCATAAAGGGATGGACACGCTCAGCAACAATACTCAGGTAGGCTGTGGTGTTTAAACCATGCTCAGTTGGTACTAAGAAAATCTCCCCCACACCATTACACCAGCAGCAGCAGCCTGAAGCGTTGATACAAGGCAGGATGGATCCATGCTTCCATCTGAATGTGGTTTTTCCAATCTTCTATTGTCCAGTTTTGGTGAATTGTAGCCTCAGTTTCCTGTTGTTAGCTGACAGGAGTGGCACCTGGTGTGGTCTTCTGCTGCTGTAGCCCATCTGCTTCAAGGTTGGACAAGGTGTTGTTGCTTCAGAGATGCTCTTCTGCACACCTTGGTTGGAACCAGTGCTTATTTGACTTCCTGTTGCCTTTCTATCATCTTGAACCAGTCTGGCCATTCTCCTCTGACCTCTGGCATCAACAAGGCATTTTGGCTCACTGGATATTTGCTCTTTTTGGGACCATCCTCTGTAAACCCTAGAGATGGTTGTGCTGAAAATCCCAGTAAATACTCAGAGCAGCCCGTCTGGCACCAACAACCATGCCACGTTCAAAGTCACTTCAATCACCTTTCTTCATCATTCTGATGCTGCGTTTGAACTTCAGCAGCTCGTCTTCACCATGTCTACATGACTAAATGTTAATGAGCTGCTGACACCTGACTGGCAGTTGAACAGGTGTACCTAATAAAGTGGCCAGTGAGTGTATATGGGTGTGGTTCAGTGGTTTGTAATGATGCTATAAAGTTACATTATAATAAAGCAATAGTTTTAAAAGCATAATAGCCTCATGAATCCAAATCTCTGTGTCTCTGTTCCACGATCGAGGTGTTTGTCCCCTGTGCAAACAAACTGTATGAAATGATGTATTAAGTGTCTGTGGGAAAGATACTGAACCCCAGATTGCTCCTGATGGCTGCTCCATCGGTGGATGAATGTGTTACTGAGTAGCAGGTGGCACCTTGTGTGGTAGCCTTGGCCACCAGTGTGTGAGCGTGTGTGTGAATGGGTGAATGTGACAGACTCAGAAGACTAGAAAGGTGCGTTGCAGGTGCATTTTGGTGGTCCTGTTCTAATCTGTGAGGTTGAGAACTGGTTGTACTCCAAGCACTTCACCAACAGCATAGCAGCAAACTAATTAGCTTATCCAAACAACCCAGATCATATTCACTGCTACGTTATGACTTCTTATCAAGTTTTACACCACTGGAAGCCTGCTCGTCATATGAGGCTGTGAATGAGTAACAAGTCAGGAAGCAGACACAGCAGTTTGGACGGGACCAAAGATCAGGGGTGAGGAGAGAGTTAGAGCTGATGCATCTTACATGTATTGAGCCTTGAGTATGCATTTCTTTTATCTGAATGATTGCACAGACGTGAGTGCACGCTCAAGGCTACATGAGTCAGGGCTGAATGAACAGCGGTACATTTGAAGCAGTTCAGACATTTCAAAACACACATTAAACACACATTAAACACACATTAAACACACATTAAACACGGCTTAATAGAGACCATTTCAAACACAAGTACACAAATCAGCTTCACTATAACTCGCAGCATTCACAGACAAACACTTGTCTTTATCTGGACACATTTTCCCCACAAATACAACATGCTAATGTTATTAGCACTAGTCTATGACATTTTACATTGTATAAATTAGCCTAGCGTCTAGTGATCTTTTCCTCTTCTCATATAAAACCAGGAACAACAGCAACATGTAACAAAGGTAACGGCACATAATTTGGCTCCATTACAGCTCACAAGGTTCACTGACAAAACAACTTTCTTATACTAAACATGTTTTCCAAATAAATACATGCTAACGTTATTAGCACCAGTCTATGGCGTTTTACATTGTATAAATTGGCCTAGCGATGAACAGAGATTTCCTCTGCTCATATGAAGCCAGGATAAATCACACACAAATGTTATTTTTGTGGAGGCTTTATTGTCTCAACACAAAAACTTTCATGAGCGTCCTGGCAAAGACAGGCAGCAGCATAAAGTTACAGACAGACGACAGAGAACAAAAGTACAAAATAAAATATACAGCTGGGATTACTACAAAGAAATATTTCATTCATGTGAACAATTCACACTTTGTTTTACAGTCACGCAACACTGTACTAATTTCTTTAATACATGTGGATGATTTTTTTCAGGGTCAATTACCTGTAACTGTCTGATTTCAGATCAAAACCAACAAAGATGACATTAATGACATCAAGACTAACGGAGGTGGAGTTCCCCCTGATATCACCAACAAACTAAACCAGCTTGATACCAAGGTAGGACATTAAAGCAATGATGATGCATTTTATCAATACCATTTGCAGCATAAATATGTCGTTTATTTATGATTTTATCCTCTTGTTAATTTATTTTAACTCACATTCAGCTCATTTGCATTTTCTTTTAATTTCCTTGTGTGAATTTTCGATGCAATCAGCCTGTAATTAAAGCTTTATCTTATTGCGAGAGTACTGTATATAACCAGTGCTCTAAAATATATTTCTCATGCTTTCTAGGTGTCAGCACTCGAGACTAAAGTGGATGCACTTGAATCGGTAAGACATGGAAGAACCGTTTGTAGTAACGGCTCAAACTAAAGACTGTTCTGTCACGATGACATCACGATGACGTCATGTTATCAGCTGGAGGTGCAGCTGCCTCTCCCCCACAGGGCTGTAGGCTCCATAGGAGTGTTAAAATGTGTTTGTCTTGTTGTGTTATTGGGAGCCAGAATAGAAGGAGTCATGGCTCAAAACCAGCCGCCACTGCCCGTCAACAAAAACAAAGACAACTATGGTTAAATGTGATAAGACCAAAGGACTGGACGGAGGCCATCATCAAAAATGCTCACATGTGCAGCGCACACTTCATATCAGGTTAGGGAAAAAGTATTTCCTGTTGTAGGGATGAATAAGGTTATGTGTATTAAGGGTTATCATGTCCACCTCATCAGAAACTGGGGAGGGATTAAGAGGAAGATTGGATTTCTCTGCAACGCTAACTTTTTAGCACATTAGCTAACGTTAGCTTCCATAGCAAAACAAACAAGTGTGGTCCTCCTTTGTAAGATTGGCTTCCTGTGACATCATCCATCCACTGAGTGAGAGCATACGGGTCGGCCAGTCTGGTCCCGTTGGTCAGTGTTTACTTATTCAAGTAACACTGGCGGTCCCGGAGAGTGAGTGACCTGACATGGTGCGTTGGTAAATTCAGTCTGACGCTCTACACTAAAATGAGAGCCCTGTTGGTGGAAGAAACGCAGCGTTATATTTCTACATGAATGAACCAACGGTTAAGTTAATCACACATTCACTCCGCTCGGCGCTCTGCTGCTCCGTCTCCACAGACAGAGTGTCCAGAGTGCGCTCTGCCACTCTGAGAGTGCGCTGCTCTGGATAACCCAACGCTACATTCAGACAGCGCTCCCAATTTATCAACGCTCCAGTTTGTGTCAGAGTGCGCTCCCACACTCACAATGAGTGTTTCTGAACGCACCACTCACATCATCTTCCTCCATCGTCTGAAACAAGACAACACAACTTGTTAGTTAGCGCTAGCTAATGTCTGTGGAGAACCGTTTTGCCTCCAGCTAAGCCCCGCCCACCAAAAACCATCACATTAGCAGTAAAAGGGTCTATAATTGTCATGTTTCTCTCCTTACCTTTCCTCTCCTCTTTTCTCCTCTAGACAGTCCACAGGGTGTCCTGCAGCAGTAATCTCTGTCAGAATGGAGGAACATGTCTGAACTTACTCAACTCATACCACTGTGTGTGTCCCAACAACTGGGCTGTGAGTTCCTCTATGGTTGTTATGGTTTTTACAGTTGGTCCTATAATCACATTTTGTCCAGAGCCCCCAGAAACAATACAATTTGGCTTCAAGCTCGCTGTGTCTCAGGTTTCTTTTCCCTTTTTCTGTAATCATATTCAATATTTATTTGGACGGAAGCACCACATCAATACAGGATCAACTACAAAACAAAATTCTTACAACAAGACTGAGCTGAAACATACTTTACACACATCCCATGCCAAATGCTGTGTTTTAGCAAAACATCGACAGCGATCATTGAAGTTTATCTGTGGTTAACATTTCTTAAACTACGCTCCCATCTCCTTCTCTCCTGCAATGTGTGTGTGTGTGTGTGTGTGTGTGTGTGTGTGTGTGTGTGTGTGTCAGGGTCCTAACTGCACGACAGATGTGAATGAATGCCAGGTGTATGCAGGAACATTTCAGGGTTGTCAGAATGGAGCAACCTGCGTCAACACCCCTGGATCGTTCACGTATGTTTTAAACGTCTCTCCATACTCTGTTGTTATGACTCTAATGTTACTGTGTGCTGTGTGTTGTGATTTTGCTTGGCCACTGTTAAGAAATGTGTGTACGTACGGTCATGGACTTTCTACCTTGAATTCAAATAAACACAAGAAGTTTGTGCTCTAATAAAAAAAAAAAAAAAAAAGGGATCAGCACTCAGTGAATAATCCTCCTAAGCCCTACGATAAGCTATTATGGCAAGGCTTAACTATACAGACCCGTGAGCAGTGATAACTAACATGTCTTTGGGGTCATCGGGTGGGAACCTCCTTTCACCGGTGTTTCGTCTAGTTAGTCCCACGACACCTCCAGGAGGCTAGACAGTGATCTCTGGCGTCCCAGAGACACTCCCCTAATGCCAGGTCTCACTGCTCCCCACACTAACCGAACAACCTCCTTTACCTTACCTATACTACCACAGAGGAGGTAGACCCAGGGAAGGAAGCCTTGTTAGGCTATCACACTCCCCCGCCGGGTTAGGCTGTACAGTCTACCTCCCCAGGACGAGCCCTCACAACAATGACACCTCCAGGAGGCTGGACAGTGATCTCAGCCCAAACAGCACTGCCAACTTCAACCAAGCCCAGGCTCCGTTTATGCGAGCTCCAGGCAGAAGCAATGCTGATACTACCTTTACTAGCACATTCACCATACTCTATTTCACACGCTACATAGCATAACTACAATGTAAGCTAAAGTTAAAGGAGATAAATGAACTCACAGGATCAGCAAACACACTCACTTTGCAGCATGGTCTCAAACAAAATGGATTCAAATAGGCCACTCCCACACTTAAATAACCTTCCTCTTCCTGGATTTCCTTCTTACTTACACATGGCTTTCTCAGCCCAAACAGCACTGCCATCTTCAACCAAACCCAGGCTCCATACATGCGAGCTCCAGGCAGAAGCAATGCTGATACTAGCTTTCCTGTCACATTCACCATACTCTATTTCACACACTACATAGCATAACTACAATATAAGCTAAAGTTAAAGGAGCTAACTGGACTTACAGGATCAGCAAGCACACTCACCTTGCCGCATGGCCTCAAACAAAATGGATTCCAATAGGCCACTCCCACACTTAAATACTTCCTCTTCCTGGATTTCTCCTGACAGGAAGTGGATCTCTCCACCTGATCTCAAGGAGTTATGTGCCCTGCTTAGTAGTTCCCCCTGCTGGCCCCCAGCTGACATTATTTCTTCTGTAATAGATAAACTGGCTGCATTTAATTGCTTCATCTGACATTTCCCTCACTGTCTTCCTCAAATTCTGTCCCCGCACTCCGAGTTCCCCCAGGAGTGAGACAGTTGATCTTGCTATGAATCCCCTACACCCCACTTCCACTGGACAAATCCTAGTCTTCCATCCTCGCTGCTCAGCTTCTGCTCCTAAGTCTGCATATCTAAGCTTTTTTCTTTCATAGGCTTCTTCCACTGAGTCTTCCCAAGGAACTGTCAGCTCAATGAAATAAACTATCTGTTGACTCACTGACCACAACACTAAGTCAGGCCTCTGCCTGGTACAGACTATTTCCTGAGGAACAACAAGCTTTCCCCCTAAATCTACTTGCATTTCCCAATCACAAGCACCTTCTAGGCGGCCACACCCTTGCCTCCTCACTAACTTATCCCTTCTGTATTTCTCTCCCTCACGGACAAACTGAATTACTAAGCCCCTATCCTTAACACCTTCTGAATTCACCTGTCTTCGTTTCCCTTCGATGCCTGCAGCTAAACATTTCAACACCTGATTATGTCGCCATGTATATCGGCCTTGTGACAAGCTAACTTTACAGCCTGACAAAATATGCTTTAAAGTTGCGGTACGTGAACACAATGGGCATGATGGGTCCTCATTTACCCACAGTTTTAGGTTCTGGGGGGTTGGTAACACATCGTATGTAGCCCCTACCAGGAATCTAATACGATTCTCCTCCATACTCCACAGGTCCCTCCAACTAAGCTTCCTCTTCTCTACACTTTCCCAATTCAACCACTGTCCCTGTTTAGCCTGGGCCACTACCTTTGCACCCCTTACTATCTCTTCCTGTCTGCGTATCTGTTCTACAACCAGCTTTCTTTTATCTTTGAGGCCTGCTGTATTCCATACCGGTTTACCTGAGCCAAGCCCCAGGCCTCCCCGGCCAAACTGAACATTACCTACAATCTCTGCATGTCTAAGAGCTGCCTCTGCCTCCTGAACTGCCGATCTTGGGTTCCACTTCCTCCCCTTGGTTGGATTTGGAACCACACTCCTAACTACCACGTCCTTACTCCCAGATAACAAGAGCTCTGTCCTGACCTTGGTACATTTAAATTCCTCTGTTAAACTAGATACTGGCAGCTGAAGTATCCCTTTTCCATACAATGCAACACTACTTAGGCACCTAGGAGCGCCCAACCACTTCCTAATGTAGGAGCTAACCGACCTTTCCATTCTCTCCACAACAGATATTGGAATTTCATAAACTGACAATGGCCACATTAACCTAGGATATAGCCCAAATTGCAAACACCACAACTTCAACTTTCCTGGAAGTTCTGATTTATCTATTCTATCCAATCCTTCAGCCACATCTTTTCTAAATTTCACCACCTGTTCCTTATCATTCAACTCTACATTGTACCACCTACCTAAGCTCTTTACTGACTTTTCCCTAATTGTTGGGATGTCCTCATCATCTATGACAAACTTCCTATCACTTAACTTCCCTCTACATATCGAGATGCTTCTAGATTTACTAGGCTTGATTTTCATGCTGGCCCACTTGAGGTTCTTATTTACCTTCTCTAGTAGCCTCTTTGTACATGGCATTGTTGTGGTCACCAGTGTCATGTCATCCATGTAAGCCCTAACTGGTGGAAGATGCAACCCATTCTGCCGTCTCTCCCCACCTACCACCCACTTAGAAGCCCTGATGATTACTTCCATTGCCATAGTAAATGCTAATGGAGAAATTGTACACCCTGCCATGATGCCTATTTCTAGCCTCTGCCAACCTGTTGTGAAACCTGCTGTACTTAGACACAACCTAATATCCTGAAAATATGCTTTCACTAAGTTAACAACTACCTGTGGCACTCTGAAGTAGTCAAACGCACTCCAAATGAGGCTGTGCGGTACTGAACCAAACGCATTTGCAAGATCTAAAAATATTACATGTAGGTCCCTTTTGTTAATCTTCGCTGCCTGAATCTGGTGCCAGATCATGCTAGTATGCTCTAAACACCCTGAAAAACCTGGTATTCCTGCCTTCTGCACCATGGTATCTATTAAGCTATTCCTTTCTAAGTAGCTAGCTAGTCTCTGCGCTACTACACTAAAGAAAATCTTCCCCTCCACATTCAAGAGAGAAATCATCCGGAACTGGCTAAGGTCCACAGACTCCTTCTCCTTAGGAATGAGGACACCCCCTGCCCTACGCCATGCTCTTGGTATAATTTGTTTTTCCCAAACTATTCTTAGCTGTTTCCACAAAAATTTAAGGGTATCAGGCGCACTTTTATAAACCCGGTAGGGGACTCCATTAGGCCCTGGGGCCGAAGAAGCCTTTGCACGCCTGACCACCTCCTGAACTTCCTTCCACCTAGGTGGCCTGACATCCATCTCATGCTCTATCCCTCCTAATGGAGGGATATCAGGTGGGAAACCTACTATCCTATTCTTCTCCAAATCTGAATACGTGTTTCTCAAATATTCTTCAACCTCTAACCTTTCTGCTTTAAGCTGCCCTCCCTTTTCCTGGCTGAACAATCCTTTAACAAACTTAAAAGGGTCCCTGAAAAAACCTGTCCTAGCATATTCCTTCTTCCTCCTCTTTTTCCTGAGATGCTCCGCCCTTCTAAGAACTGCTAGCCTGCTTCTCAACTCCTCTTGCAACACCTTAATTCCCTCCCTTTCTTCTTCTGTAGCCTTTTTCCACTGCTTTCTTAACTGTCTCCTTTCCTTGACTAACTTCTCTATTTCTCTCTGCCGCCTAGACTTACCTGACTGTACCCTCTCACTCCTCTTTCTCTCATGCACCCCAAACCTCTCTACACCATATGAATACATTATATCTCCCATCTTTTCTAACCTTTGTATTGCATTTCCTCTAAGCCTACTCAAGATTACTGACAAGTCTCTATTAACTATCTCCCATTCTTTACTGTCATTTGCTCTAGGCCATCTAACTCTAACCTTTTGCTCCATAGTTCTTTCTCTGGCTAGCATACTGGCCTCAGTGTCACCTGCATCCTCTCTTACTACCCCCTCCTCCTCAGTGGCAGCGTTACTGATATCCTGCGAACTGTGGTTTTCTACCTGCCGCTGGACTTCATCCGACTGACTCGACTGACTTCTTAGGAAGTACTGATCAATGCGGCTACTCTGCCCTTTCTTTGCCACACACTTCTTCTTTCCCTGATGAGTTCTGAGGCCTTTCACTGATGTTACTTTCTGCCAGCCGCAAGGACAAACCTGAAGCATCTTGTTCTCAACTATGCTACTTTTGCCCTCTACAGATGCGCTCACCTTGCCCTGAGTGCTGCTAATTCTAGCACTGGTGGATAGGTCCGTGCCCCTATCCTTCACTGAGTCACCGGTCCAAGTCATAGTCGTGTCCTTTCCAATGTCTGTTACCGTGTAATCCACCTGTGAGTCATCTTCCACCCCTGCTCTCGCTGACTCTTGGGGTATTTTCCCTATGTTGGCTGTAGCTAATTTTGGTTGTAATAAGGCTGCTAGGCCTCACCACTGCTACCATGGGTTGCTAACCCATGCCAGCACCGCTGGGGTCTTTTCCCTCCTGTCAGCTGTCTTTCCAAGCGGTCACATGGTCTTTCCCTTGTTGTCAGCTGCCCTATTCACAGCAGTCACTAGCTGGGCTAGTTCTGAATTCAAATAAACACAAGAAGTTTGTGCTCTAAAAAAAAAAAAAAAAAAAAGGGATCAGCACTCAGTGAATAATCCTCCTAAGCCCTACGATAAGCTATTATGGCAAGGCTTAACTATACAGACCCGTGAGCAGTGATAACTAACATGTCTTTGGGGTCATCGGGTGGGAACCTCCTTTCACCGGTGTTTCGTCTAGTTAGTCCCACGACACCTCCAGGAGGCTAGACAGTGATCTCTGGCGTCCCAGAGACACTCCCCTAATGCCAGGTCTCACTGCTCCCCACACTAACCGAACAACCTCCTTTACCTTACCTATACTACCACAGAGGAGGTAGACCCAGGGAAGGAAGCCTTGTTAGGCTATCACACTCCCCCGCCGGGTTAGGCTGTACAGTCTACCTCCCCAGGACGAGCCCTCACAACAATGACACCTCCAGGAGGCTGGACAGTGATCTCAGCCCAAACAGCACTGCCAACTTCAACCAAGCCCAGGCTCCGTTTATGCGAGCTCCAGGCAGAAGCAATGCTGATACTACCTTTACTAGCACATTCACCATACTCTATTTCACACGCTACATAGCATAACTACAATGTAAGCTAAAGTTAAAGGAGATAAATGAACTCACAGGATCAGCAAACACACTCACTTTGCAGCATGGTCTCAAACAAAATGGATTCAAATAGGCCACTCCCACACTTAAATAACCTTCCTCTTCCTGGATTTCCTTCTTACTTACACATGGCTTTCTCAGCCCAAACAGCACTGCCATCTTCAACCAAACCCAGGCTCCATACATGCGAGCTCCAGGCAGAAGCAATGCTGATACTAGCTTTCCTGTCACATTCACCATACTCTATTTCACACACTACATAGCATAACTACAATATAAGCTAAAGTTAAAGGAGCTAACTGGACTTACAGGATCAGCAAGCACACTCACCTTGCCGCATGGCCTCAAACAAAATGGATTCCAATAGGCCACTCCCACACTTAAATACTTCCTCTTCCTGGATTTCTCCTGACAGGAAGTGGATCTCTCCACCTGATCTCAAGGAGTTATGTGCCCTGCTTAGTAGTTCCCCCTGCTGGCCCCCAGCTGACATTATTTCTTCTGTAATAGATAAACTGGCTGCATTTAATTGCTTCATCTGACATTTCCCTCACTGTCTTCCTCAAATTCTGTCCCCGCACTCCGAGTTCCCCCAGGAGTGAGACAGTTGATCTTGCTATGAATCCCCTACACCCCACTTCCACTGGACAAATCCTAGTCTTCCATCCTCGCTGCTCAGCTTCTGCTCCTAAGTCTGCATATCTAAGCTTTTTTCTTTCATAGGCTTCTTCCACTGAGTCTTCCCAAGGAACTGTCAGCTCAATGAAATAAACTATCTGTTGACTCACTGACCACAACACTAAGTCAGGCCTCTGCCTGGTACAGACTATTTCCTGAGGAACAACAAGCTTTCCCCCTAAATCTACTTGCATTTCCCAATCACAAGCACCTTCTAGGCGGCCACACCCTTGCCTCCTCACTAACTTATCCCTTCTGTATTTCTCTCCCTCACGGACAAACTGAATTACTAAGCCCCTATCCTTAACACCTTCTGAATTTAGATTTGAGATACAACGTGCAAGGTACCCTGAGATATCCTGATCCCTGGTGTCGCAGACTGGTTCTAGGGATGTGGAATATCACTCCCTGCTGGGGAAGGAGCCGGAGCTGGTGTGGGAGGTGGAGCAGTACCAACTAGATGTAGTTGGGCTGACCTCTAAGCCTAGCAGTGGTTCAAAAACCAATCTCCTGGAAAGGGGCTGGAATCGTCCAGGGTGAGAGGTGCCGGGCTGAGCACCATGGTGTTGGAGTTCTCCTTTGGTGTGGCTTCTGCAGTAATGCCCGTGCTGTGCCGGACTGTTGTGGTTCAGAGGGAGCTGAGTTTGAAGGCAAAGCATTCGATTCACTGGTCCATCTCCGCCCCAACCCTCACCTATGGTCATGAGCTCTGGGTAGTGACTGAAAGAATGAGATCACAGATACAAGCGTCTGAAATGAGTTTCCTCTGTAGGGTGTCTGGGCTCAGCCTTAGAGATAGGGGGAGGAGTCAGACATCTAGAGGGAGCTCGGAGTAGAGCCGCTGCTCCTTTACCTCAAAAGCGGTCAGTTGAGGTGGTTCAACATCTGATCAGGATCCTCCTGGGCGCCTCCCATTAGAGGTGTTTTGGGCACGTCCCACTGGTAGGAGACCCCGGGGCAGACCCAGAACACCCTGGAGGGATTACATATCTTGTCTGGCCTGGGAACACCTCGGGATCCTCCAGGAGGAGCTGGAAAGCGTTGCTGAGGAGAGGGATGTTTGGGGTGCTTTGCTCCGCCTGCTGCTCCCGTTACCCAGCCTCGGATAAGCGAATGAAAATGGATGGATATAGATGTAGATATAGATGTAGATATAGATTGATATAAATATACTCTGATAGTCTTTTTTAAAATAATGTAGTGCTTGCTACAGCTACCTTATGGCATTGATAATGTTAATATTCCTGGTTCTCTGCAGTTGTAGCTGTTCTCCAGAATGGTCCGGGACTCTTTGTACGGTGCGGTTTGATGACTGCAGGAATGCAGGACAGGACCTGTGTGTACATGGCACGTGTATTGATGCAGACCGGGTTACACCTGGACAGGTAACCAGAAAAACAAAACTGCTTATAATAAGTGACACAAATTAAATATGTTGTCCGTCAACATTTTGCTGATGCCTTCGGTATCAACATTTTTGCCACTTGCCTGTTACATGAATTACCAACACGTTGTCTCTGTGGGACGAACAATTCAGTATTATTTCATTTTGTTGATTTTGAATGACGGTGTTTTCACACTCTGACTCTTTTTTTGTTTCAATAAACAGCCTAAATATCAGTGCATTTGTGAGAGCGGTTGGGAAGCTCCAGCTGGGAATCCATCCTGTGTGGCTGATGTTAACGAGTGTAACCTACCCAACAAACCTTGCTCCACCAACCCCCCTGTTCCCTGCTACAACACTCAGGGTTCCTTCTACTGTGGACCCTGTCCTGCAGGTAACCATCAGTAACACCACTCGTACTCTGTGCTTGTGTATTTCACTCTAGTTAGAGACTGCAGATGAAACAGATACAGACGGCTGTACAGAGAGTCACCAGAGTAAAGGAAAGGCTTTTAGTATTGTACCACACACTGTGCAGGCAGGCAGAGCTTTAGTCTGGCTAACTGGGACTGATGTCATAACTGCTGGCTAACAAAAGTTTGTTGTAAGCCAGAGTCCTGCATGCATCCATTTTTTAAAACCTGCACCCGCCCATACCCGTAAAGCTCAGCACCAGAACCAACCTGCACCCGTTAATAAAAGTCCCACAACCCGACCCTGCACCCGTGATCAATCCCCCCCAGGCTCCAGTCCCTCACATGAAGCTGGTTCTCCGTTCTTGAATTGGACGTGTCTTTGACTGGATGGTGAAAACATTCAATCACTGCCAGGTTAGGAAACATGTTAGCATGCTCCTTCCACCACCATCAAACCTCCAAAGGATCCCAACTCCATGTAGGCTGCCACCTCATCCTCGGGCTGCAAAGTTTCATGGCTGGAGTTTTCTCCTGTTGCACAGCTCTTTGCGGGTCACCAACGATTAACTAAATGACACATATTACCTAATAGAAACTATTTAAAAAGCGTCACAAAACAGAATCCAGTGATTTGGTGGTTTCAACATTCAGGGTGATTAATCAGAGTCATTCAGGCCATGATGTCTGGAGGTTGACACGAGTATGCTGATCAGCCGAACATATTCATTACTAACTATGATTACTGACTTAGCTTTTCATTTATAAAGGCTTTAAAGCAACATTATGCAACTTTTTTCTTTAAAATATCAGCTTCAACATTATTCACTATGAGACACTGACTTGTAACAGGGAGACTGGTGCCTCTGTCACGCCCACTCTGCACCCAAGCGCCTATTCCTGCAATGTGTAGTTTTGGGGAGCAGGCAGGCACCTGGGAGAAGTGTAAGGCTTTACAGCACTACATCATCAAATGCACGTGTACAGCTGTGATGAGATCAGTGAGACAGGGATGGCAACGATAAGGTTGCAGCCTACACTGCAATCTTTCACAAATAACGCTAGCAGGGATCACTCTGCTGCCACACTGTCACTGTTTTCCTGTTAGCCATGATCCAGATCATTACAGCTGACGTCAATACAGTATGAACAGTTTGCAACTTGCAAGCACAGTTTGTATTTATGAATTGTATGTATGTATGTATTCATTTGGCTGCTGAACTTTTTGAACCGAAGTGGTGGGGGTTGAGGAGTGAAGACCCCGAGCCCTGTGGCGGGTAAGGTCACAGAAGGCTTGAAAAATGCACCAACCTCTACTCACACACTCTAATACTGAATCTTACTCCAAATTAAATTGAAAAGTTGGTACCCCGGAGCATTGGGTAGTGACAGACAACAGACAGGTTGCTGCGCTGGGCTGACAGGCCGGGCTGGGCCAGGCACAGCAGGGATTTGCATTTCCATCACAACAGGTCTACCTTCTTAAAGGTGTGTCTTGAAGTGATGATGGTTTGTCTTGAGTGATGATGTTTAAAAGCAGAGTACCTTGCCGAGGCGAGCCAAGCTGAGCCAAGGAGACACACACAAAACCAGTCTACCTGAGCTTCATCAGCATTTAAAACCAGCTTTAGTTGTGAAGGCTGAATCTGGATGACATTAAAGACAGTCTGCAGTTTAAACACAGCCTCTGTGATCGATGAGCAGGCACAATACATCACTGTGTCATCGGCATAAAACTGAAAATTGGCACCAACCACATTTCAACCAAGACTATCAATATAAATTGAAAATAACAGTGGACCTAACACTGAACCCTGGGGTACACCATTACAAGTGTTGAGCCAGTGACAGGTGAGCCCGTCAAACTGACCACACTGAGACCTTTCTGTGAGGTCATTCACAAACCAGCCCACTGCCTGCTCTGATACAGCAGTCAACCTCTGCAATGGAGCCAGGTGGAGTCTTTATTTCCCAGCAGACCTGTGGACCAGCTTGTCTCCTTTTGTATGTGCTCTTCTAAAACTCACAGCTGGTGCAGATGGCAGCCCATCTTTGAGGAGTGGATCACCTTTTACGATTTGACTTGATGACTTGTATGATTATTTTTGATGATTTGCTTTACTTTACCTGCTGTGGTGTTGCACTGTGTCACAAAACAGACCTTTTGTTTTTTCTCTGGTTCTACTATGTTTCAGGTTGGCAGGGCAATGGCTACAGCTGTCAGGATGTGGACGAATGTTTGACCAATAATGGCGGCTGCTCCACCACTCCTGTGGTACAATGCCTGAACACCATGGGCTCCTTCCATTGTGGTCCCTGCCCTCCAGGTATGACAGAAGGAAATGACTGACAAGTTCAACTGCAGTGCTGTGAATTCTGCATGACCGCCAGAGTTCTCAGAATTCTGAGTGACAGTGAACTCTGGCGGTCATGCAGAATTCATAGAACTCTGAGAGGGTTAGAAAGGCCCTGATCACCTTCCTATGTAGCAAGACATCCCCTCTCCTAAGCCACACACCTCCAAGTTTCCATCTCTTTCCATTTCCATTTACTAAAATGAGTTCGCTGATGTGACGATGTGTTCCGAGTCAGTAGTGACGTCATAACAAAAGTAACCCTGTAATGAGTTGATGGTTTTGGAGTCACTGTAATATTATCACTGAAATTTTATTTGTAATCAGTTACACTACTTGTTACTAGAAAAAGTAATCATATTACTGTAACAGGTTACTGCCGAACACTAGTCCTGACCAGTAGAAGCAACAAACAACAACCACCAGAAAGAATCCATATTTGCTTCATTTTAAAGACTCATCTTGTATTTTTGCAGGTTATGAGGGCGATGGGAGAACATGCACCCAGGCCAATATCTGTGCTACCAACAATGGAGGCTGTCACCCATTGGCCACTTGCTCCTCAACCCCAGGTAAAAACATACATAAGCATGATTTTATTTCTTTCCTGTGAGTTTATCTATCTCCTTTAACGTTAGCTTATATTGGAGTTATGCTATGTAGCGTGTGAAATAGAGTATGGTGAATGTGCTAGGAAAGGTAGTATCAGCACTGTCTCTACCTGGAGCTCGCATGTACGGAGCCTGGGTTTGGTTGAAGGTAAGGTAAAGGAGGTTGTTGGGTTGGTGTGGGGAGCAGTGAGACCTGGCATTAGGGGAGTGTCTCTGGGACGCCAGAGATCACTGTCTAGCCTCCTGGAGGTGTCGTGGGACTAACTAGTTGATACACTGGTGAAAGGAGGTTCCCACCTGATGACCCCAAAGACATGCTAGTTATCACTGCTCACTGGTCTGTATAGCTTATCATAGGGCTTAGGTTATTCACTGAGTGCTGATCCTTTTCTAGATCAGAAACTTCTTGTGTTTATTTGAATTCTTCTTGTGTCCTCTGATCATTGACAATTTCATTTTCCTTAAAAAAACAAAACAAAAAAACAACAGAAAATTAAAGAACAGAAATTACAAAAACAGAAAATGAAAGAGAATCATTCGTGATTACATCATAACACTGTGCTTCACCAAGAGTCAAGGGGCAATCCAGCTGTGCAGCAGTTATGAGGGGAGGCAGTGGAATCACACAGTGCACATATTTTGTATATTTTTACACACTTACAGACTCAGCACAGTGAAGATTATATTCTTACTATTTTAACTACTAGTGTTGACGTTGTAGCATAATGCACATTCTTATTTCTATTCTACTGTATTTTATTACTTATATTTATGCACTGTGATTTCATACTTCTGTTCTTTACGTCTTATAACTCGCTCTTCTTTACATGGGAGCAACTATAACAAATCATAATTCCCCCTCGGGGATCGATAAAGTAATTCTGATTCTGATTTATTTTGCATTGTATCAAAACACCATCTTGGATTGATGAGGTTCTCTCTGCATTCTGCATGGTTCTGAGTCAAGCTGCACAATACTGGATTTTTTGATGATATCCGAGAGGCCAATTTTAAAGCAATCCATTAGGCCAATAACCGATATCAGTATATCCATATTCTTCCTTGAATCCTCTGTCTGTTATAATTGTTGTTACATATATTCATTATACATACTTGTATATCTTTCAGATATGTTGTGCTCTGACCTGTGCTATATCATTTACCTGATGTTTTCTATTATGTTCACTTTTTCAATAAAAAAAAAAAAAGGGAAAAAGAAATCGGTTTGTCATATCATCAGAAATCAGCATCTTGGCCAATTCCGATATTTCATTTTTAAGCCAATGTCTGGCGATACTGCGAGTTAGAAAACAAACTTACAGCGACAGTTTCCACCATACAGCACTCGGTAAGTTTGTTTTCTAACTCGCGTAGCATATGTTCCTTATGTTAGCATGTAAGCTAGACCGAGTTAGCTTCTTAATCCGAGGACTGATAAACTTCATTAATTCTTGATTCAAAGGTATTTGTACAGTGTCTAAATCAGATTTGACTGTCTGTCTGTGTGATAGTGATGGCCAAATGAAGCCTCATGAAGCATTTTCTTTATTTTTTGAGCCCACTAGATGGCGCTTTTTGTTCAACAAAAGGTTGAAAGCACACTGAATTGCCATTCTTTGAGCCTCTCTCTTTAAACCATGAGCGCCATCTAGTGGGCTCAGAAAATAAAGACAATGCTTCATGAGGCTTCATTTGGCCATCACTACTGTGTGACTGTCTCTTGTGTACAGATAATGTGGAACATGATCATGTGTTCCTCTTCTTCTTCTTTGTCTTTTTCTTCTTACTCAATCCTCCCACATCCACCAGGCACAAGCCTTCCTGTATGCACCTGCCCTCCAGGCTACACAGGAAACGGTTATGGACCAACAGGTTGCACCCAGACCAGCAACGTCTGTCAGACCAACAACCCCTGTGTCAATGGACAGTGTGTGGTGAGTGTGTGTAACTGTGCATGTATGGCTGTTCAGACATGGTGGGATGCTGCGTGGCCATCATGATAAAGATGCTCTGTCTGAGTCTGTTGTAGTTGGTCTAGTTGGAGTATTAAAAAAACTGTTGAGTATGCGGAAGAGATAAATTGCAGAGCAGACTGCTGGATGTTGATTGGAAACCTGAATATAAAGTTACAGGGGATGGTAGCAACAATTAATGATGGCCATATGAAGCCTCATGAAGCATTTTCTTGATTTTCTGAGGCCTCTAGATGGCACTCATGGTTTAAAGAGAGAGGCTCAAAGAATGGCAATTCAGTGTGCTTTCAACCTTTTGTTGAACAAAAGCGCCATCTAGTGGGCTCAGAAAGTAAAGAAAATACTTCATGAGGCTTCATTTGGCCATCACTAGCAACAATAACAACAGTGGCTCGCTAACAGTTAGCGTGTGGGGCCAACAGAAGCAAAACTTAACCTCAAGGAGGACGTCCGTAGACTCGATTGAGCTGAAAATGAAATGTGTTGTTACATTTCTGGGGAGATGCATGTCAGGCTGTGGCGTAGGGTATAGCATAGGCTCTACGTCCATGCAGGGCTTACGGCGTAGGGATGGTGTCGATTCAACGCAGAGGTATAAATTCCGCTTCATGGGCACAGGGCCTTCTCTATGGCTGGCCCCAAGCAATGTAATTAACTTCCTCCCAGTGTCTGATTCTCCTGTTGAGATCCTTAAGAGTCAACTTAAAACAATCTCCTACTTATTGTACAACATTTAAGAACACTGACTCAGAACTCATTCGTGTCATTGTCAGCCATAGTTTTTTGCCTTATTGCCATATTTAAAGCTTTAACTGTAAAGCTGGACTAACCCACGTATTTGCAGAATTATTTGCAGTAATGTGTCCAAAGTCTGAATCAGTCTATAAGTGCTTTATAAATCCCACCTTTGTGTTTGTGCTAATGACATTCTCAAGAACAGAAAATGCAGAATCAAATCCCTGTGTAGTAACAAATCCACGATGTCTGACTTGTGCACCACTGCTGTCACAGACCACCACCTCGGCTCCTGGATACATGTGCAACTGTAACCCTGGCTGGCAAGGACCACTCTGTGACCAGAATATCAACGAGTGCTTAAGCAACCCCTGTCAGAATGGAGGAACCTGCACCGACGGCATTAATGGATTCACATGTACTTGCACTGCCCAGTGGACTGGCCCGCTCTGCCAGACCTCACAGCAAGGTACTGGCAGGACAGTAACATATGGAAGGGCTGGGGAGATAAAGGAGGGGAGGTGAAGGGAAGAAGCGGGAGAGATGGGTCAAAAGGAGGTGGAGAAATTACAAGGACAAGATGAAGAGAGTAGAACGGATGTGCAGAGACACAGGAAGTACAGCTGTAATCAATTTTCTTTCTAAACCTCTGTTTGTGTTCACAGAGTGCGGAGGTTACCTGACTGGCCCCGCTGGTTCCTTCAGTTATCCCAACACCCCAGGTCACGATCATTATGATCACAATGTCAGCTGTGCCTGGGTGATCCGTGCCGACTCACACAAGGTCAGCTGCAGTCTCTCTTAAGAGATTTCCTTTTCCACACGAATCCTCTTTCTATATTACTGTGTAAGTTTGACAGCTTTTCTTAGTCCTTTAACCCTTTAATGTCCACACTGAGAAAAAAAATCTTTGCATTTTTATTTCCATAGGACAATGATAACAAAAATCACTGGGCCTCATGCAGAAACATCGTCTTACATTTCTCTCATATTTTCTCTTAATTTTCTGGCAAGGAAAATGATAAGATGCACCAAACGTTCTTAACCACCCAAATCTGCTCTTACCCAGATGTGCTGCATGATGAATCCCACTAGATCGTAGGTCACCTATTAGCATAGGTAAAGCCCCCCAAACACAATATCAGGGCAGGTGTTTTGCCATGTGCAAAGACTCTAGCACATGACCAAGACCTGGAGAGATGCCACCTGAAAATGCATTGTTAGATACACTTTCACACCTGCCCTGTTTGGTTCAGTTCATTCAAATTTAAGTAGTTTTGCCCCCTCAGTGCGGTTCGTTTGTGCAGGTGTGAACACAGCAAAACAACCGGACCGAGACCTTCTTGAAGAGGTGGTCTCAGTCTGGTTCCAAAGGAACTCTGGTGCGGTTGGTTTGTGGTGAGAAGGTGTTCCGACCTGGATGTGAAGCAACTGCAGTCACATGACACATTGTTTGGGTTAAACATGAGCATGTTACAGTCCTGGAGGATTATTAATGTGCACCTCCTCCTGTACTGCCTTAATATGCACATTCAGCACATCCAATGCATCAAAACATTGTTTTCTAGTTGGAGCCGCGCCTCGTTTTCAAACTGTATGTTTTGACTAAAATGAACAATGACAGCAATATAGTCCACGATGAGCAGCGCTAAAATCAACCTGCGTAGTTGTCCCTCCATTGTGACATTAGAAAGTGTCACATTTATCTTGCAAGTGTACTCTTCTTCAACGTTTGCTTTACTTCCTGGATTTTTCCCACATGGAAATTCTGACCAATCAAGAGCAGCTTTCTCACACAAGGCATTTGATCTGGTCCTCTTGTAAATGCTGCCGTGAGAACACGAACCATCTCTAGGCAATTATACAACTTTGGAACAACATGAGTCCCTGATTCAGACCAGAGGAGACCACTCTAGGGCTGACAGCAGCCTTAAAGCGAACATATGATTTTACAGAGTGCCAGTGCTGGTGTTACAGGTAAATGCAATGCCATGTCAGCAGCAGTGGTGAAGGAAGTAATCAGATCCTTTACTTAAGTTAAAGTACTGATACCAAACTCTAAAAATACTCTATCAGTAACAGTTTCTAAAATGTTGCTTAAGTAAAAGTCTGTAAGTATAATCAGGGAGATGTATTAAGTATTTAAAGTAAAAGTGCTCAGTGCAGAGACGTATAAATTAATTTAAACATTTAAAATAATTCAAAGGAAAAGCAGCAAGTCCTCATATTTGAGAAGCTGGAACCATGAAATGCTTTTTGCTTGAAAAGCAGTTCAGTTAATTATCAAAATAGTTACCTTTTAATTTTTAATTAATCGACCAGTCAGCTGCACTATATTTCAATATGGTTTGTGAACAAAAATTTTAATTTGTAAAGTAACTAGTAACTAAAATGATCAAATAAGAAGTGCAGTATGTCCCTCTGACGTATATTGAAGTAGAAGTACAAAAGCTGCGTGAGATTAAAATACTCAAAGTAAAAGTATCTCAAATTGTGCTTCAGTACAGTACTTGAGTAACTGTGTGTTACATTTCACCAAAGGTCAGCAGAGGGACACACGAACTGACAGTACAAATGATGATGTGATGAGTCCTTTGAATTGTGTGTTCTTTCTTCTTCAGATTCTGCGTATTACCTTTCCATTCTTCCATCTGGAGAGCAGCACCAACTGCAACTTTGACTTCCTTCAGATCCATGATGGCGATAGTGCCTCTGCTTATATGATCGGAAAATACTGTGGCCAGAATAGCCCAGCGGAACTCTACAGCTCCCACAATTCCTTATATTTCTGGTTTCGTGCCGACAGCTCTATCAATGCTGGTGGCTTCACAGTTGCTTGGCAGTCTCAGGACCCAGGTAGGGGTGTAATCCTTGAGCAGCATGGGCGTCATTTGCCAATATCTTCCTTAGGTTTTTCCTAAAGTTGTTCTTACGAAAAGTCCCAAGAAAAGTCTACGTCAGATTTACGACGTGTTCTTAAACGGCAGAATTGTTTGCACCTGTGTTCTTATCATGATAAATCCCATTGTCCTGGTGAGTTGACAGAGCATGCCAGTTGATTATCATTGTTAAACACCCAGAAAATACCCATTAAAAGGTGTGAGACTGCAGGGCCGTGTGCACAGAAGTCTGATAAGGAGGGTGGAGCACCAGACTTCAAACTAGGAATGATTAGACATTTAAAAGATCAAATTTCCGCCACCTAGTCGGTTAAACCAATTTGTTTCATGTACAAGGCCGCTTAACTGTCATGCAGCCGCCCGCCACTAGTGGGTGCTACAGAGCTGTCAGACAGCAGTCCCCCTCCCTGTGGTAATGCTCCAGTAGACTGTAGTTTTAAATTGGAGAGATGTCGTCTTTGGGACAGTGTTTCAGATACTGAACAATAAATTGTGCTAAATTTGACTGTTTCTCTGAATGTCCTGTTTTTAGACTAGTCGACTTGTCTTGATTAAAATTTTTGTTTAGTCAAGAGAGAAACTTGATGCCAGGTACAGCCTCACTTCAAACACATGAAGTGAAGGTACTTCTGCAGTGTGCGATCAACCTTTTGTTGAACAGAAAGCGCCATCTAGTGGGCTCATGAGATAAAGAAAATGCTTCATGAGGCTTCATTTGGCCATCACTAGTCAGGAGTGGAGATAAAATCACACAAAAAGATTCATGGACTGCTAAAAACACACGTTAATCAACCACCTGACTTGTAAATGGCAAACCTTACGCATTAAAGGAGCAAAACTGTCAGGTTTTGTTCATCCTTCCCTAATTTCTCCTTCTCATCTTAGTGTGTGGAGACGATCTCACTGCTCCCTATGGAAGCATTAACTCACCTGGTTACCCTGGAAACTACCCACCCAGCCGAGACTGCTACTGGACAGTGACAGTGGAACCTGGCTTGCTCATCACCTTTGCATTCGGGACGCTCAGTCTGGAGCAACACCCCAACTGTAACTTCGACTTCCTGGAGGTGAGAAAAGCTGGACTGGGTAAAACCAACCGACATAATGATCCCAGACAGTTGAATGATACCTTGATGACACAGTTTCACTGTCACACCCAGATTGTGTGGGTCTAATAAAAAACATCACGTCTGAAGCAAAGCCACCCAAGGCGATCTTTGATTCACAGGCAGGCTATGTTTTGTGCTCCTGTTGCTAACCTGGTTGCCTTTACAGAGAATCTGGCTCAGTGCTGAACTCAAACAACTTTAACACTGGTTTATTAGTGATGGCCAAATGAAGCCTCATGAAGCATTCTCTTTATTTTCTGAGGCCACTAGATGGTGCTGATGGTTTAAAGAGAGAGGCTTAAAGAATGGCAATTCAGTGTGCTTTCAACCTTTTGTTGAAGAAATTGCTTCATGAGGCTTCATTTGGCCATCACTACTGTTTATGTCTGCTGTTCCGTCAGGTTTGTGTCACTGTTACCACAAGTGAAACAAGCCGACTGTAGCACAGCCTCACAACCTCTTACAACTGTTCTTCTATTAACTGTCTTGTGTGGCCTCATATCGTAGATCCGGGATGGTCTTCTACCTGAGGACCCAGTTCTGGGAAAGTTCTGCAGCACTGGATCACCTCCCCCCCTGCAAACCACTGGTCCAGCTGCATGGATCCACTTCCACTCCGACTTTAGTGTTTCTGACCGAGGCTTCCACATTACATACACAACATCCCCAAGTAAGACAGTGTTTACACCCTTTAGCACATCCTACAGAGCAACTGTGTCACATTAGTCATGACCTTGGGAGCAGTATGTCAGGACAGGGCCACTCTAACTTGCTATCAGTCGTACAAAGAAATGTCATCCAGTGTTTTCTTTCCCCCAGCGTCTGTATTTCCTGGTTCAGACGGCTCTCACCTGGGTGTTGCCATACATCCACGTGAGCCATAAAGATATTTGTGAGATTTCTCTGTTTCTGTGTTGCCATAGCAACCTACGAAACACACATTTAATGTTGTGATTTAGGGGTCCAAGCTCCAGTGGACTCTGCTCGTCAGTGTTAAAGTTAAATGTTTGTGATTTCGTTCTTTGTTTGAACAGTGTCATCTTTAAATTTAACCGATAGATGTGTAAGATGGCACAATATGTAGCAGGCACACAGACTGTGCTGTGCTCCAGATTCAACATGTTAATTTTAATCCCATTTGGCCCAACAGTGCATATTTAAACTATGAAAATATATAATGTACCGAAAGTGTTCCTGCTTGGCATTATTGCACAGGGACGGTTCCTGACAGTGTGGACTGGTATGAAGTGGTCATCATAGTGACGGGCTGTGGAGAGAAAGTGTTCTTGTGTTCAGTTTTTTTGGTGTACAGTGTTTTGCAGCGCCTCCCAGAGGGGAGAAGTTGAAACAGCTTGTGTCCAGGGTGACTGTGGACGAGTAGAAGTCCTAAATGGAGATCACCATTTATTTTCTATATAGTTTTTGACTGTCTGTTCCTGTCCTGTTTGGTGGCTGATCTGAACCACACAGTGACAGACGTGCAGACAACAGACTGGATTATGGGGTGTAGCACTGTATCAGCAGCTCCTGAGGCTGGTTGATCTTCCTGCGCTGGCACAGGTCGACATCTCTCTGCTGGGCCTTTTACTCTGATGGTGTTGCTGTTGGACGTCTGCTTTAGGTCCCCAGACACCTGAGGGATTCCACGGCAGACACTGTGCTGTTGAGTATGGTGAGGGTGGCAGTATTGGAGGGCTCCTCCTGAAGTCACTGTGACAATCTTTCAGATATGCACTGATGAAGCACTCCTCCTGCTCTGCAAACACGTGCTCCAAATCAAAGCATGGATGAAAGTGCATGTGCGTACGCAGGATGAATTAAAGTACTGTGTCAATTCTAATGAAAAGCTGATGATGTTTCATGTCAACACCACGAGCCAAGTGAAACATGAGTTTATTAGTGGTGTCACACTGCCCTCTAGTGGTGTATCTGTCACTTACAGTTTGTGCTGACAGCTCAGGGTCTTGAGATGCTGGCGCTGAGCTGCACATTGTTTTGCAGGTTTTAGCTTTTGGCACTGAGCTCGAGACTTTAATGCTCAACTGAGCTGCTGCTGTTACAGACGTGTGTGTGTGTGGGGGGGTGTTAGGGTGAGACCATATGAATCCATAGATGCTGAAATAATAACTGGATTCCTCACATTCCAACTAATCACTTGTATCCACACATTTGATATGATCTAGTGTATTTCATGCATTTGATTATAAATAAGATTTAAAAAAACAGTTTAATTATTTCTGCAATTTGACAATATTATTATTATTACAGTATTATTATATTTATTTATAATAATTTTCAGTATTTTTAGGCATTGCGGGAGAAGGCTGAATTCAGTCTTTTTTTTTTTCAGTCAATCCACTGATTTTTTTTTTTTTTTCACGAAATTATATAAAATACAGTTTCAGTGAAATGTAATTCTGTCAGTTCCTTAAATGTGTGCATTAAAAAGCCTGTAATAGTGAAGAGAGTAAACTCCTGACAGTGTCATGCAGGAAGGGTTGTTTCAATCACAGCTTCCTGTGTGAGCACCTGAGTTTTTGCTGGTTACAACAACGAGTCGGACACAACGAACGTGACACCATCAAGAGTGTAGCCAAGGCACTTGTTGGCTGAGCCTAAGTCAAATGACACCAGTCAAACTCCGGCCTGCTTGGTTTTCGTCTTTGGTACTCCCTATTGGCTGTTAGAGACAGAAGACTCAAAAGGTGAGTGTCAGTGGCAAGGACGTAACACTCTATCTAAAGGGAGTCGTGCCAGAGGCGTCGAAAACAGTCATTTCCTACTAAACCCCCCTGACAGTGCCATGCATGACGGGGCACATGGATCAAAGCTTCCTGTTACCATGAGCCTCTCTAGCTCAGAGTCTGCTGTTAGAGACTCGCAGTGTTCCTAGGGAGCGTCATAGGGGTGGATTGCACAGGGCCCAGTCCAGGCCCTCCTGATGTCAGGGCATCCAGAGGACTGCAGTTTTTGGTACTTCTTTGTTGGCGTCATTTTCCAGTCACAGACGTTGTCGCTTGGTTTTTGACAAGTGCAAAGTTAGTTTTGTGGGATGTTACAAATGAGGCTGCATTTTGTGCAATGCCGGATGTGGAAGTAAAGTTAGTGCTGGATGGAACCTCGCTAACAGGACTCTTACACTATACTGAGGGACAAAAGCGTCACTGCTCCAGGTATCCATCTGGTCATAGGGTTTTTTTTTAAAAAAACATCTTTTTTTGTGGTTTGAAGGTGAGGGTTATTTTGAGGCCTGTTGGTTTGACAGGCTCTCAACACACTTTAGTTGTGTTTATGCATTTTCATTCGAACAGAGATTTCTTTTATAGCAGAGCATGTGTGGACAGGATTTTTATATTTTTTGACAATGAAAAAGGGAAACCTCCTGTTTGTAAAAGTCCTCATGTACCTGTGACCTCGGCCTCTGTCTCTCTGTCCTCAGAAGGCTAAAGGATAACGGTCCTGTCTACATGGCAGTCACAGTGAGAGTTCAGAACCTGTAGTGGGATAATAGTAGCGTACTTTATACCCTGTATGCTGTCACAGTTAAATTAATAATAATAATAATAAAATAATAAATTTTATTTGTATTGCACTTTACATTTTAGCAATCTCAAAGTGCTACAGAGCAGAGAAAAACAAACAAACCTAACTAACTAACGATAAATAGTTAAAAGGAGAACCTATAAATTGCACCACTTTGAGACACTGTATGGTATACAAGGTTAGTATTTGTCAAATAATAATATGGATATATTTGTCTTATATCTTTGATAATTATGTTGGAGTCAAAAGATATTTAATAACGACCTCAAACATCCTGAGCTGCGCTGATGAGTAAGAGGAAAGAGTTACAGAAATTTAAACACTCATCACTAATCACTCATTAATAAGATGAAGAATGATTAATCAACATTTTGGTGTAGACGGAGATTAAACCGTCCTTGTGGCTGGCTCTCATCCTGACAGCGTGCACCGTCTGTGGTTATTTAAGCCTTCCCAAGTGTCCAAACAAGTCGCACACCAGGGGAATGTAAGAATAGGGTGTAAACAGATGGTTACCGGTTGAGATGAAAATGCTTGTTATAGTCAGTCACGTTTAAATCATTTTTATCCTTAGTTTAAGGTGATGGAAATTAAAAACAAAAACTTGTGAAGACTCGTGATCTTATATTCTTGCCGCCGCTCCGTCTCTGATCTAAAAAGTTTTACTGTTTAATCTACGCTTTCAATTTTAGAGCCTGGACAGTTAAGTTTCTGTGGCTACGAGCTACCTGTCATACAGTCTGGAGGTTTAAACTGGTGTCCTCTCACAGAGTTGGTGATTCAAACTAAACTTTCATCTCTGTCAGAGAAAACTGATCTGAGTTCAGACTGTTTACTTACAGCACAGCTACACTCACAGATAACTGAGCCTCCTACCTGCCTGTCAAACACCATCAACCCACAAACCTTCTCCAGTCCGGACTGAGTGGAGTCCTGCGGGGTGAAGCTGGGTGAAAAAAAGTCGTTGAAGAAAACCTCCCGTCATAGTCTTCATCAGTGAAATGAACACTGCTTGCAAGATTAATTTTATGTGCATTTAACAGGAATGCCAATAACGTCCCAGCATTTGGACCTCTGTCAGAAAAGTCACAATAAATGTGACTGTCTGAAAATGTTTTGTGAATTATAGTTTCAGCGTCTGGGAATGAAACCCAGAACAGCAAGCGACTGATGTCCTGTCTCTGCCACTCAATGCTCTGCTTTGCATCATGAGCCCCGCAGGTATCCAAACTCCTCACTTTAGGATGTGTTGTGTCTCAGGTGACCCTGGCTGTGGTGGCACCTTCACTGACAGTGAGGGCATCATCATCTCTCCAAACTGGCCCAACAACTACGCCCACAACCGCCAGTGTATCTATTTGATCAGGTTGCCAGCGGGTGAGAAGGTGGCGCTCAACTTCACTCACATGAACCTGGAGATTCACAGCAGCTGCACCTTTGACTATGTAGAGGTAAACTTGTTTATGACTCACAAACAAATATCCTGATTCATATATTTATGTTCTTCAACATAGGGCGGGGCGATATAATCACTTTGTGACATATTTTGATATATTTTCAAGCAAGGTATACATTTAGACACCGTTTGTATCGACATAGGGTCAAATTGCGTTACGTGATGCATACAAGTGTTCATCTCTCCTCTCTCACACTCTCCGCACAGCTCCGCCCCCTCACTCACTCACTCACAAGTTCTCCAGCAAAACTTAATAGAGCCTGACGTGCACCTCCCCAGAAATGTAACCACACATCACAGTGACACAGACCTCCTGTCTGTCTCTGTAAGCTGAAACCATTTCCCTCAATGGAAACAAAGCTTTGATTTACTGTAATTTCACAGATAAGAAACAATAAATTGTGAAGACAGTAAAGCCTCCACAAAATTGGAAAGTTGGGAAAGTGGTGCAGAGTGGGACCAGAGTGCGTCAGAGTGGGACCAGAGTGGGACCAGAGTGCGTCAGAGTGGGACCAGAGTGCATCGGAGTGGGACCAGATTGCGTCAGTGTGGGACCAGAGTGCGTCAGAGTGGGACCAGAGTGGGACCAGAGTGTGGGAGTGGGACCAGAGTGCGTCAGAGTGCGTTGGAGTGGGACCAGAGTGTGGGAGTGGGACCAGAGTGCGTCAGAGTGCATCAGAGTGGGACCAGAGTGTGTCGGAGTGGGACCAGAGTGCGTCAGAGTGCGTCAGAGTGGGACCAGAGTGTGTCGGAGTGTGTCAGAGTGGGACCAGAGTGTGTCGGAGTGGGACCAGAGTGTGTCGGAGTGGGACCAGAGTGCATCGGAGTGGGACCAGATTGCGTCAGTGTGGGACCAGAGTGCGTCAGAGTGGGACCAGAGTGGGACCAGAGTGTGGGAGTGGGACCAGAGTGCGTCAGAGTGCGTTGGAGTGGGACCAGAGTGTGGGAGTGGGACCAGAGTGCGTCAGAGTGCGTTGGAGTGGGACCAGAGTGTGGGAGTGGGACCAGAGTGCGTCAGAGTGCGTCAGAGTGCGTCAGACAGGTGTTAGCTGCTAGCTTGTTATTCTGCCTTTACAAGCTTCAAAATAGTGTCAATCATCTGAACTTGGTGATCAGAGTTTCACACACTGAAAGCTAAGACTTGATTTAAAATCAAACAAAACACCAAAATGACCCAAAATCACGATGTTGACATGGATCCATGTTTATCCAGCAGTGACATCTGACTGAGTTCGATAGAGCACGCCACAGGTTTTATTTGCCATAGCTGTTGCTGATGAAATGAACGCTGCCTCTTACTACTCCTCTCTCTCCAGGTTCGTGACGGCAGGACGGAGACTGATCCTCTGATAGGAAGGTACTGTGGGAGCGTCCTGCCGGCTCCCATTCTCTCGTCCTCCAACTTCCTGTGGGTTCGTTTCAGGTCCGACAGCTCGGTCAGCAGGGCTGGTTTCAGGGCTGTCTACACTGTTGGTGAGACTCCACACATTTACACACGTGATATGACATCATGTTTATGTGTCGTTTGTTCTAGGATATGTTCTGAGAAAAGCGTTGGGCCACTCATGTGTGGGCTGTGGGATAAAGATATCACTGGGGCGGATGTGGCTCGGCAGGGTTGTCCACTGATTGGAAAATTGGCAGTTCAATCCCCAAAGTATCTTTGAGCCCCAAATTGTCTAATTGAATTAGATCAACTGAGGCTGGTTATTCAGCAGCTGTACATATTCAGTCAAACATTCAGTCTCAGTGTTTGTTGCAGACAAGAAAAAGGGAAAAGGGACGAGCACCAGTAAATCTTGACTACTGAGTTATTGTTGATGCAGGCAAAGATATTTAGTCACATCTTTGTCTGTTCCATCAGCCGCTGACCAGCTGTCAACCCTTTCTCTCCTCAGGTTGTGGAGGCACTTTGTCTGGGACTGGGCAGATACGCTCTCCCTACCACCCCAACGCCTATCCCCACAACAAGGTCTGTGAGTGGGTCATTAACCAGCCAGAGGGCTATGTGGTCACCCTCAACTTCCTGTCATTTGACGTGGAGGGAGGCTCCTGCCGTTACGACTCTGTTGAGGTAAATTAAGTCATGGAATCAAACCGCTGGACCTGAATATAAAAGTGATCACACTTCCAGTTTTTACTTCTAAATTAAATACAGAATAACAGCAACACCACTCCTCCTCTTCATCTTTTCCTTCCTCTTCTTCTTCTTATTATTATATTTTTAACTGCAGTGAATTTTTAACTGCAGTGAATATTAATGTTAAATACAAAATTACTTGTTCTTCACTTGAGTGTTTCTTTGTTCTGCTCCTTTAAACTTCTGTGCCGCATATTTTTCATGGTCACAGGCTGTCATTTATCGTTTTGATTGGGCGGGTCTTACTTACTATGCGGGCCTGTCAGTGGGCGGACGCTAGAGGTGAGAGCGGAGGAAGAAGAGAGGAGAGTGGTGTGCTGTGGAGAGCTCAACTTAGAGCTGAGCGATATGGACAAAAATTCATATCTCAGTACTTTATACGTGCTGGGCGACGTGTTCAGCTGCAAGTCGAAGAACAGCGTTATGCAACTTGACCACATATGGATACATCATAGGTGCTTCTGTGTCATGTCACTAGAGAGTAATAAAGAAATAACTTTGTTTCTGCATGTATGGTTTTTACTATGTGTGAATTGATTGATGAATGGAGAGGGAGATGGTGGTTAGTGATGGCCAAATGAAGCCTCATGAAGCACTTTCTTTATTTTCTGAGCCCACTAGATGGCGCTCATGGTTTAAAGAGAGAGGCTCAAAGAATGGCAATTCAGTGTGCTTTCAACCTTTTGTTGAACCAAAAGTGCCATCTAGTGGGCTCAGAAAATAAAGAAAGTGCTTCATGAGGCTTCATTTGGCCATCACTAAGTGGATCACTTATAATGGTGCATGTTTCGTTCATCTTCCAGGTCAGGGATGGCTCCACCTCTAGCTCTCCTCTGCTGGGGTTGTTCTGTGGTGTCAACATGCCCCCCCTGCTCCAGTCCACTCAGAGATCGATGTACATCCGCTTCAAGACAGACTCCTCCGTCAGCAACAACGGCTTCGAGGCAGCCTATGGCTCTGCGTTGGAGGGTGAGACAAGTATTAATGTTTAGCAACCATTTTAGACTCCGACTGTGCCCCTGGGTTAGACACTAATCTCTTGTTTGTCAGCGCAGATGTCTCGTAGCAGAAAGCACAAACTCATGATCTGTTGGAATTATTTGATGTGTCTGATATGATTCTGATAAAGAGGCTAAGATAGAAGAAGATAGCCCCCTTCAGAACAACGTCAATTTAAGTTAAAATTAAAAACATATTTGGATATGATTTTAGCATGTGCAGGATTATGATGCATGAACCAATATACTGGTGTTAGAAATACTTTGGTAGAGGAGCCAATTTTTCATGTCTGGGCACAAAAAAGAAAATCTTGCCCCTCTGTCTGGGCAAATACTGAGGGACTTCTACTCTTGTACCGTCGAGAGCATCCTGATGGGAAACATCACTGCCCAGTACATAAACAGCACCGAACAGGACCACAAAGAGCGGTTCATTCAGCTGAGCACACTACAGCCGCTGCTCCACCCTGCACTAAGGACCTTTACACCTGGTGCTGGACAAATATGGCCAGGAGAATTGTTAAAGATTCCAACCACCCAGATAACTGCCTTTTCATTCTGCTGAGGTTGGTAATAAGGTACCAGTTACACCAGGCAGCACTGAGAGGCACAGGAGGTGCTTCCTCCCTCAGGACACAAGGATCCTGAATAAAGATAAAAATATTCATTATTACTGCACTGCTGTAAATGCACAGTTTGAAGGAACTGACAGCAGGACGTTTCACTGACATTGAATTCATATTATTTCATGTGATAAATAAACTGATTGAAGTTTAGATTGATTAATTTAAGACTTGTGTGCAATACATTTGTGTTTCCATATCGAAAGTGATATTTTGTGTTCGATATGTCAGTGAAGATTCTCAGTCATCCAGGTCATGGTAATCGTAAGTGCTAATCCAGTTGCCTACGATATTAGCACTTACAATGTGTTCGATATCATCACATTGGCACTTGGGCTATCCCCATGTTTGTGCTTGGCAGTTGCACTCTACTTCTCTGTACATGCCATGATGTTGCAGTGATCCTGTCACTAACATTATTGCAGAACTCTATGTTGGAATTGGCAGCAGGGTATGCAGAACCTAACTGGGTGCTATCATGTAATAACTACATGCCAGTGGTGCTGTCACTGATCCTCAGAAGCTAGTTCTTCAAAGTCTGCTGATGTCACACGTTGACCAGTTGTCCTTTTTTGTCTTGTGTCAGGCTGCGGTGATACCTTGACCACTCCCACAGGCACCATCACAAGTCCTGGCCACCCCTCCAGTTACCCCCATGGTGCCAACTGCACCTGGTACATCAGTGTTTCCCCGGGCAGCCTGGTTCGACTGTCGTTTGACTCCTTCAACCTGGAGTACCACATCAACTGTAACTATGATTACCTGGAGGTGTACGACAACGGCACTGTGCAGACTGGAACAAAGATCGGAAGGTAGCCTACACATGCCTGTATAACTCATATCTATCTATCTGGCTACAGGGGAAAGTGTGGCGGTGAGTGTGGGGAGCAGACGAGAGACTGATGGGAGCAGAGGAGAGTTCAGCCTTATATGAACATATCAAGTGAATGTACAGAAGAGTTCAGAGTCTGTGCACATATTAATGCTGCAGCTCCTCTAAACCAGCAGAATAATACTGTACTACAACTGTACCAGCTGCTACAACAATTTATGTATGTACATATATATATATATTAAGGGTGGGAATCACTAGAGGAGGACCCATGATTAGGTAGTGTAATATGCTGAGTATTACGATACAATATTTTGCAATATATGACCTTTTATTCCAACTGTAAATTATTTCCCCAAAGGAATCTTTGTCAGCATCAGTTTGACCTCCTTAGATAAAGTTTTCAGTCTGTTCATCAACTTTAATCATTTTTATTGCAGCAAAATGTGACACAGAGCAGACACACTGACCAACACTTTCATAACACCTGTCAGAATTGCTGTATACACCTGACAGACTGAACTGTGGGCACATTTAACGCCCTCTGAGAGGACAGATTAAGACCTGAGACAAACACGTCACATGCAGGTGTCCTGCTGACTGAGGGACAACACACATGTTAGAAGTGTCGTCTGTTACAGGAGGTCTGCAGTGTTTGCTCCACTGTGACTTTGGTGTCCTGAGACAGTGTCTCCTGTCCTCTGTCAGATAATGTCCCGCTCTAGTCTTTGTTTTGATGAACTTCCTGCCAGATGCCGCTGACTGAGAGCTCTGTTGATCTTACCAGGGAACAAACATCAGCACCATCTAGTGGAGCAAAGAGCAACTGATTTTATTATTCTAGCACCAAAAGTTGTTTTGAAATTTGTATTTGAAAAAATCAAGATTGATACTTGCTGTCTGTGTATCGATTCAATATGGCTTGACACACATGTATGAATGTATTCTTGAAAATAAAATAATCATGCAGGTAGATGTTTTGTATTTGTAGTACTTGCTGAGTAAAGATGTTTGGGTGCTTTGTGTGTGCAGGTACTGTGGGCGCTCAGTGCCTCCATCCATCACCAGCACTGACAGCCTGCTCACCCTGCTGTTTGTGTCTGACTCAAGTTTAGTCTCCGAGGGATTCTCTGCCAGATACGTCTCAATCAATGCCACAGCAGGTACAAAGATGGTTTTTCAGTTTTCAGTCCATTTCAGACTACTTATCCAGTAGCCCTGAACAACACGACTGGCGGGTCATTAAGTGACAAAGAATCACTCTGGATAACTAACTAATAACTTACAGAAACACTGTGCAATAGCCCACCTCCCACCGTCTCCTCCCTTCTGTCTCTATCTGTCTCACTCCAACAAACACAGCAGGTGGCTTTATCACCAGCACTGCTGCACTCAGGATTTCTGTTATCCACTTTTTGACCGGGAAAACTGTTGAAGTCTGACATGTATAAATTTCCTCAAGGTGTCCTATCAGCAAGCGAGCATCTCTCTGCCCATTAAATATGCTCTTATGTTGCCTCATGGAAACAAACCACTCGGGTTTTCAGCTGTGCACTCGGCATCATATTTAACATGCAATCACTTAAAGTTGGGGAGCGCATGCTGTCTCCCTGCATTTGTTCTTTTCAAACAGAAAACACATGCTTTATATTGTATATGTTATATGTCATAGGACCAACAGCAAATATTAGCGATGGTCACCATGAGGAACTTTCAGCTTCCAGGCGATCTCTTCCTGCCAACTCCACGTTATTTAAGTTTTTGTTGCCCAGTGGGGAGGTGTTATAATAATAATGATAAAATGTATTTGATATAGCAAACAAAGCAACAAAAATATGGGTCTTTAGTTGTTTTCTAAAAAGTTCTCAGGACGTCGCAGACCATAAACTTAAAGGAAGAGAGTTCCATAGTGTTGGAGCCTTCAAAGGCACGGTCTGATGACACATGGATAGAGATCACTGATGTATCCAGGCGCCTGACCGTGGAGGGCTCTTAACATGAGAACAAGTATCTTGAAGTGAATCCTGGACCTGATGGGAAGCCAGTGTAAAGAAACTAAAATGGGAGAGATGTGGGTCGACCAGATGGACCTGTTTAAGCGCCTAGCAGCAGCAGCAGCAGCAGCAGCAGCAGCAGCAGCAGCGTTCTGGATTATTTGAAGACAATTCAGAGAAGATTTGTTTCGGCACGTAAAAAGAGAATTGCAGTCGTCCAGACGGGAGGACACAAAGGCATGAATAATCATGTAGATAATGCTTCAGTTCATCTTCACAAATCAGCCACACCTCATCCGTTACAGAGCTTTCAAAGCAAGTAGCAGGGACAGATAAAAACAGGACATCAACAGAAGTTCAGCCCAGGCAGCGTGCCACACAACACTGTGTTGCTCTGGACAGTTGGGACAGTTGTAGCTAAATAACTACCCTTGCACCAGTCCAAAGATTGTTTGATCCTGTTTTAAAGCACTAACCCACATTACCATGTAAACACTGTACTTTTTGATTTGGATACCCTGAAGACGTGTAACTCCGATCATTAGGTTGAGCTTAACCCTTTGTTTCTCTCATCAGACTGCGGTGGGACTTTCACCTCCTCTACAGGGTCCTTCAGTTCACCCAACTATCCCGACTACTACCCCAACAATAGAGAGTGCATCTTCAAGATCACTGTGCAAGTCAACATGCAGATTATGCTGAACTTCACCGACTTTGTGCTCGAGGGCTCCCCTCCATCTTGCAGCTATGACTTTGTCGAGATCAGGTAAGGTTGAGTTAACCCTCTGGAAACAGACCTCCCACTGGCAGCCACTCGGGGGCGGGTTGTGGTTCTCATGGTCCTGTTTAAAATTGACCTAAAATAACAACTATAGGAGCTTGAGCATTCATTCTTCTTGCAACAAAAAGCTGGACTTTATTGTTCGCACCATTACGTTCTCTGTATGTGATGATGTCATTATGTTACGCTACAAGCGGTCCAGAAGACGGCAAAATCATGCAGTGGCGCCAGAGGAGCAGAGTAAGTCCAGAGTAATGTCTGTTGTATTTCTTTAACGTGTGACACAATTTCAATATCAGTTATCATTTATTATGTTTTATTGACTCATAAGCTTTTAGCTTTTAGGTTGTACACATTTTAGGGTTAAACACTCCACGAAATGACATCACAATAAGCAGAAATACCATCATATGCACAGCAGACTGTCTCTATGGCGGTTCGGAGGGTTACAGGTGTAGAGTTTGGCTTTGTTGGGAGACAATCTGTCGTGGTCCCGCTCAGTGTCCAGAGGCCCTCAGACTTAGTATTAAAGACTATCTGGCATTTGTTTTCACGTTACATCAAGGTGAGGGTTATTGTTATATTCTTATCTGTCATGTCTGGTTTCACTTCCTGCCTTTGTGAGTTTTACCTCCAGTCTTGATAGTCTGCCCCGCCCTAATTAGTTTCACCTGTCCATGTTGTTACCGGCTTCTTCTTCTCTTACACATTTAATGCTATTGGACTTCCGGGTCAAAGCCCGGGGCGGAAACTGTGGAGCATGCTCAGAGCGCCTCGGCCAGTTTGGGTCTGATTGACTGTATACATGCAGGAGTCACATGATCTGGGTGTGTTAGTCTGACATGTAAACGTACTGATTGTTGTTTGTGCTGTCAGCTGATGGTTATGTGATGGCTGCCGCTGGCTGACGGATTACGCTCCATTTAAAAATCTTTCCCGGCCCTGGCGGTTACGCATTAAGTAGTGGACCGGTGCACTGAAATGGAGCAGACCCAGTATTGAAGGGAAACTGGGAGCAGACTGGGAGAAAATAACGATGTAAATCATGCATGTGTCTTGAAGTTGTGTGATTTCTGTAGCTTCACAGGAGACACATCAGTCCCTCTTTATTCAGTGTGACCACTTACACTCTGAACTTCCACCATCTTTTGCAGGGACGGAGGCTATGACACGTCTCCCTTGATTGGTAAGTTCTGTGGCAATCAGAGGCCTCCAGTCCTGGTGTCCCATAGCAACCGTCTGTGGGTCAAATTCCGCTCAGATGCCAGCGTCACACGTCCTGGATTCAGCGCCCACTGGGATGGCACACAGTCGGGTGAGTGGTTTGTGTCAGACGTTTCTCTCCCTCCGCTGTCCCTCTGTAGCTGTCCTGTCAACAAAGGCAACAAAACACACAAAAAATGTTTAAGAAAAGAAAAAATAAATTAAATAGATTTTCCCAAAGTTTGACCCAAAAAACCAACATGTAAATTCAGATGTTCCAGATGTTGAAGTTGCAATGATAATTCATTTTACTTTTTATTCTTTGGACTCTTTTTCGGGTTGGTTTGTTCTGTTTTGTTTATTTTTTTTTTTTTTAATATTTTATTGTCTTATTGTTGTAATTTTCTCGTCTTGCTTAAACTTAATGTTCAGCTGTTTGTGTTCTTCTTTAAATTGTGTCTGTGTCATTCCAATTTTGCCACGTGAAGCACTTTGGGCTGCGCGTTTGTATGAAAGGTGCTGTATAAATAAAGTTGAGTTGAGTCACACCCTTTAGCTTTAGAATACAAATACACACACACACACACACACACACACACACACACACACACACGCCTGCTCGTTTGATGTAATTCTTCTTTCCCAGGCTGTGGCGGAGTGTTGACAGCTGCCTCTGGAGGCTTTTCCTCCCCTAACTACCCCCTGCCCTATCACCCTAATGCTGAGTGCTACTGGACCATCAGGACCAACCAGGGCAACCAACTCCTCCTCTCTTTCCCTGAGTTTCACTTGGAGTCCAGCTCCACCTGTGCTTATGACTACCTGGCTGTGAGTACTGTAGCTCACGGTGTGTGAGTCCTGACTTAGATGGGGAGCTGTGGGGGAAACACATGCGGTCCAAGCACAAATATAAGAGCTGAAAGGCTTCATGTAGAGCAGCAAGAAGTTGAAAACCCGCAGGTCTCAGCTTTAGGCTTCTTAAAAGTGTTCTAATAAGAATGGCAGTGGGTGAAAAACAGCAGTGAGTGCACTGGAATAAAGTGAGTACCTGTGGAAATGTTACTTGAAGGTACCCTGTGCAGTAAAACCAGGTTTTCTGACCACCTGACCAGCGCAAGTATGACGCTGAATGTATTAAACTGTGACCTCAAACTGATGACTAAGGACGCATTCGCACTGGCGCTATTTGGTCCACTTCCACTGATAGTTCGGTTTGTTTGGAGTGGTGTGAATGCTCATTTGAACTCTGGTGCTGACCAAATGAGCGAACCCTGGTCCGCTTGAGAACTGGGGGTCTTGGTTCACTTGCAATTGAACCCTGGTGCAGTTCGCTTACGGTGGGAAATGCAAACTGACTGTCCAGCGAACCAAAGAGAGGAAGTGACGTAGAGCACAGTGCATTTTGGGTAGGAAAAAAACAAAGCCATGGGCGAACCAGGAGAAGCAGAGGTAAAAACAGAAAAGGTCGGAATTAGGTTTGAAAACAGAAACCCCAAGACTGCATAAATCTGGTGTCGCTCCATTGTGTTTGTGGTGACCAAGCTGGCTGAAGGGGATGGATTTCCATTTTCAGTCCGGCCAATCGATGGTTTTCTTCTTCCTCATGCTTTTTCTCTTTCTGGTCAGTGGTCGTCTCTGACAATATTGCCCCCAAATGAGCAGTTGTTGTAACCGCGTGACGTTGTCCAGGCAGTTGAGTCCACTTTAAAACGTGCAGTGTGAAAGTGAACCGACCAAATGAAGGTGTGAAATTTTTCAGCATTCCCCGCCCAATCGAATCGAGTCAATCGGACTATCCTGGTGTGAATGCGCCAAATCTGGACCCCCTAGCTGGACCAGTTGGGAACCATTGCTTTAAAGGAATGAAAACAGAAGGGTTATTGTTGGTTAAGCAAACATTATATGACTGTAATTGAAACTTGAAACCATTTTGTTGATGGAAGGGGATAAACAAATGTACACAGTACACTTCTACATCACGGTGTACATAGAAACTGGTATATCGCTGCAACCAGGGCTGCTCTTGACTAAGACTGTTCCTAGTGGACCAACAGTCCTCATCAGGGTCCATCAGTGGACCAACAGTCCTCATCAGGGTCCATCAGTGGACCAACAGTCCTCATCAGGGTCCATCAGTGGACCAACAGTCCTCATCAGGGTCCATCAGTGGACCAGTCTCCTGCATGTTTCTGATATGAATGTAATGATGAAATGATATATTTTGGTGGTTTGAGTTGAAGGTGTGAGAAAGAATAGTATCAGTAACATTGTTAACACTGTGCTACATTACAGAGAAATACAAACCGTACTAATGAACCTTCATTAATATAGGCCTATATTTTATCTCCAAGTGCACGTCACACACTGAGCGAGCCGCCTGTTAATGACGCTGTGGGCTAATGGGCATGTAGCTACTTCCATGTTTCACATGATACGTCATGTTTGTAGTCGACCAATGAAGATGTGAAGTTTACAGGCATCAGACACCGACACACAGAGGCACCTTTCACAGTAGTATTTCAGGTACCGGGCGGCGGCCTTTGGCAACTACTGTAGTAGAAAGAATAAGAAAGTCTATGTGGGGCGGGAGGGGTCAAACAAACTCTGGACTTTCACCCAGGAGACCACTGTTTGTTTCCTGTGTGAAAGCAAAGGTTTGGGGTAAAATCACTTCTTTGTGGAGATACAAGTCAACTTTAAATGCTTTAAAGTGTGAGTTTAGTTTTCTTTATTATTTACTGATGCAATAGACTCAACATCGATGGAATTTTAGTCTTGTTTCGTCGTTTAATAACTGTGTGCGTGTTTTTATTTCAGGTGTATGATGGTAACAGCAGCAGTTCTCCACAGCTGGCCAAGTTGTGCGGCAGTGAGCTGCCCAGCACCATCAACTCCTCCAGCAACCAGCTCTACGTCAAACTCCGCACTGACAACAGCGTCAACGCAGGAGGCTTCCTCGCATCGTACACTGCCAGTATGAAAACACACACACACACACACACACACACA